CGTTGTCGGAGGTGTCTTGGTCGTGCGTGAAGCAGTGAGTGACCAGCCCACTGACTGCACAATTTCTACTCAATCCTAATTTGACTGCCAGAGCCATCTAGCGGTCATTCAAGAAACTATTTGGGTGAGAAATGGCCGCTGAATTTTGCTTACGAAACATCTCGTATCATTCTCGTAAGGTTCTTTTACCTTCCGTAAATCTACGACATGGGGACCGCAGGGCTTAACTTCCATCACCCTTAAATATCCATCGACCTCGGCCGGGGATTGAACCCGCGAGCACTGAGTCCAGTGGCGAGCACGCTAGTCCACCGACGGAGACTGATTGTACTTTTCCCTTCTTTTTAATGTCTTCCTGCCGCTGGACGATAACGAAAGCCACGTTAATACGTGCAAAATTGTAATCTTCGTTACTTCCTGTGTTGTACGGCATGTCGTATGACCCTTGGTTCTCCCACAGCGAGATAAATGTACTTCCTTCTGGAAATAGTTCTTCCTTTCACCGTTTTATTTTCAGGTTTCTTGTCCGTTTCCGTTTTTATTGTGCGCCATTTTCCATACACTCCGTATAAATGAAGTAGTAACAGTATTTTGTTACGACAAACATCTAGTCTGTATTAAAAGTTTGCCAAACTAGAAGAAGACACGGTCGGGGAAACGTCTTCTTTGAAGTCTTTGGTGTGCTTTCAGGAAAACACAGGGCTTCAGTGCACCCAAATTTGAATAAAAATCGTCCGAAAAACATCAGCAATACGTTTGCATCTGTTCGCACAGGCAACCTTAGTTGGTTAACTTCTGCGTCACTCCTTAACGAGGTTCTTAGATGTTGAATCCTTTACAAATTTCATATAATATTGTCTTTACGTAGCTTTGTTATGTCACATGAGAAGCGACACTGTCCCTTTTCTTGTGTAATAGCAATTTTTAAGAACTTATTGATGTCTCGACAGTCAGAACTTCTAAATTAGGTACGTTTGCCTTACGGTGTGCGACTGGATAAACCAACTCCTAAATTATATTTGGGAATTTAAACAAATGTAATATGTCAAGATCCTTTTTAAATACTGAAAATTATTAGCAGAAGGATTTTGAAATTAAAATTCCAGCATAGAAATCATTAACATTATAATGTGTCTTATCAAGTAATATTAAAAAAAATTTGAATGAAGATATTTTGTCTACATTTCTTGTTTCTTCCCCATATTCTGTGTATTTCTACCTAAAACTTGCCATTTTACCAATTTTACTTTTTTGTGGTCAATAATTTTTGTTACACAGTTCATTCACTTTTAGTCCTGAAACCTTTTACAAAAATTTTGTACACCCTGACTAATTTGCTGTCACAATTTCAATTTCCTTAAAGTAAAATTTTACTTTCTACAGATCCAGTTATTCTTCATTACCATCTTCCATTTCATTGCTTAAATACCATATCAACATAACCTTCATCCGCAGACACAGAATTTCCACATTCCGTTGTATTTTCTAGAACTTTTAGCCGTGTCACCTCCCTGGCTAAAGTTCATTTCACTTTGGAACCTAGTTGGGGCTTATAAAAGGGTTCCATTAGGGTCACTATCTCCAGTTGGCTGAGCTGGTTTAAATCTTCATTTCTCACTTAAATTACTTGTTCTGATATACAATATCTTGTTTCCATTACACAGTTCATGGATCTGTGGCATAAATTTGGTTAAAAAATCCACTTCGCAAAATATAAAATCACTGACCTGTTATGTACTGAAATGGTTGATGGCTAGAATTGGTCTCACTGTTGAAAATGTTTCGTTCAATATTTCTTACTACAAATGACCAATTGTTGTGTTAAATAAGTTGATGTAGTAAATTAACTCCATACATTCTAGTGATACACATGGCCACTCATAATGATATCCATTATTGTATAATTTTACATTACAGACTCAAAAACAACTGTTATCTGATCGTAGCAAACATTCTAAAACTCCAAATTTTATTAAATTTCTTATGAAACTACAACAATGCCTTTGGCATCTGGTACTACATTATCTCAAGGAAATGTTCTGAGGTCTATAACTACGGAATCACAAATGATATTCATACTTCAGAGTGTTGAAGATGTAAATGTTGTTCTTCTGGGTTGTGACACCGTGTGGAAGTATTGGTAGACACCAACGTTTCATTGAAACATACTGTCTCCATCTTAGGTACTGAGGATGGAGACAGTATGTTCCTCCAAAACGGTGCTATCTATCTACAATTCCAAGCACGTTATAACCCACAAGAACATAGATAATTTCGAAATTTTATTTTTATTAAAAGTAATATAAATAAACTGATGACGTAAGGTTTGTTATTTTTTACAAAGGTGAATGCACTTTTGTTAAACATATATCATTATTACATCAACGCGTGTAAAAACGTTCATCCCGCCATTACAATGTAAACTATAAATGACGTATCTAGCATTAATGAATGTGTAAAATATTATTTATATGCCAATTACGTACCTTTATCAACTGTGTGACAAGTCTTCCTGGCCAACTGGACGACAGCAGCAGCAGTAACACAGTGGCAACTGGTAAGCCATGTAACCCCACAACACAGCCATCTTCAGACTCACCGCCGTGAAAACCTCAAATCCTACTCACGTAACGCCAGAACATTGTGAACCTTTGCGAGGAGATTCTTGATTAACACCGATATCATTATCACAGTCACTACACTTTACTTCTGATAACATTTTCATTAACGAAGTTCGAAGCTGATAACGTCAACACCAGTCACAATTCTGCCCCACACTCTGTACGGGTGGGATTTCCGGAAGTTGCAATGTTTCTACGATAACCTTTTATTATAGCAAAGATTGTCGTCAGTATAGTTGAAAACTTGCAACGTCTAGTGTACATTTAACACACTATCTGAAACAGAGATGTTTTAAATTCTGAAACACAGATTGCTTTGCCGGGACAGGGTTTGTTCCGGAATGGTTCTAAACAACACTTATAATTTCGTTCAACAGAACACGTCTACTTTTTTGAACGGGGACTATGTTCTTCCTTATTACACTGCAATTTCGTAATACCAACATTCGGTTTTGGTTATGTACTTTTGTTGTTAGGGAAATTTAATGTTAGTGAAATGTCTCTCAGAACGGTACAATTTTGAGAGCACCAACGTCATCTGTTCTAAATATCCCTTTGTGGGCCATGAGAAAACCTGATGTTACCAGCCTCTGTCCACAAAAAACACTTTCTGCATTTACAAACGTGACTGGGTATGAATGAAAAATTATGACACTGAACTTAGGAAGGGCGAAAACATACACATAATCAAGGTTCTCACATGGGAAAATGAAAAAGTAGGTTAAAAATCGGTAAACTTTCACCCTTCTTTCTTTTTACTTAAGGGAAACTGTAATAACAAATAGGTACCAGCTCTCCTTATTGAAATGCACACCTAAATGGAACCTCATTTATTGCCACAGGAAGTACGAGAATAAATATAAGGTATAAAACACAAGGAAACTAAATAATAGTATCAACACATTACATAATAATTACATGATAACTGGATGGTTGTAATGTATGAAAAATTAACAATGAAAGATCAAGGACTATGCGACCAG